CTTCCCTCTTGAAATGCTTTTTTCTCTTCATGACACTGCCCTCCTGGCTTGTCTCAGGCTTGCCTGTCTTCAGCTCTTCCAGCTCCTTCAGTGGCTTCCTTTCTCTGATCAGCTTTTATGTATTAGAATTCCCAGGCCCCAAGCCTTAATTCTTTTCTTTCCTTTTTTTTTTTTTTTTTTTTTTTTTTTTTTTTGATATTTGTAAGTCTCAGGTGATCTCATCAGGTCCTTTGATTTTAAATACCATCTTAATTAGGATGGTGTGAAAGTGTGACGTAGTCACTTTTCCTGCCTTTGGAGGTGACAGAATAGTGCAGACATTTCAGCTAAGAGAGCACATTGGTGAAAACAAAGTCATTAACTTCTCCAGGGCCAATTTCTCAGCAAGCCCAGTTTTGGATGAGCGTGCTAAGTCACAGGGGGTGAGAGTGTTGGGACCACTCAGCATCAACATGGTTCAAAGGAGAACTAAGAATGGGAATGAAGTTGACTTTGGGGAAAATGCAGGGCACCTAAGTTCCTTCACATAAATTTATAGCAATCTGAACTATCCAGGCTATACTATATGGGAACTGATGATTGATTATTTCTATGTAAAAAGTAGTTCTACTTTTGGAGAAATGGCTAGATAACATTCGATTGTGGAGTGAGGGTAGAATCAGAGACATTTGACAAGCAGTCTCGTGTGGAACAATTAAAACTGAGCTGCCTTTTGTTATGAGCATTAACTTGGGCCGGGTTTGAGAAAAAGAATCTACGAGAAATATTCACAGGTATTGCCACTTTTGGCAGTCAGAGCTGCAATCACTGGCACTTAAAGCCCTGCTCTACCTAGTCTTCTGCTCTGGGATTTCACCAGGCTCTCCTGCTTGCAGATCAGAGGGTCCTCTTGGGCAACTTGGAGAATGACACTCTGCATCAAATAAGTTTCTAGGTGGGAATAATTAACACATTATGACACATCTCACAGCGGTCTTTCTCTCATTTCCAGGTACTCTCCTTGCACCTTCAGTGCCCGGGTGCAGCAGGTAACTCCCTGGTGAGGAAGACCTAACTATATGGTCATGGATTCATAAGGAGAATGGAAGAGAAAAGTGCTTTTAAACATGATAATGAGAAAATCTTTCAGAGGAGATACTCTGAGTTTTTTTGTTTGTACTGTTTTTGTTTCTGTGTTTGGTAAAATGATTCCCCTCCCTGATCCACGATTACTTTAAACAACTTAATGTACCAGCCAGGCAAGGGGGTGCATGACTATAGATTCAGCTATTCCAGAGGCTGAGTCAGGAGGATCACTTGAGGCCAGCAGTTTGAAGGTACAGTGAGCTTTGATCTCACCGCTGCACCCCTCGGCCCATGAAACATTATAAACGATGACCAGAAATGTACTTATGGCAGGTTTTATTCAGTCCAAAAAAACTGCCAAGTACATTTCACTATTGATGACACTATAATGTTTTTAAAAGGTAAGTACCATGTAGAATAGTAATAAGTTCTGTCTTTTCAAAATTATGTAAAATCCCAGAAATATGTTTTCCTCCAAATAAATGAGCCTAGAAAAGCTTTGGGTGATTGACCCATATTAAAAGGAGTTTAAAAAATCACCAAACCCTGGGGGAGATCCAAGATGGCCGTTTAGGAACAGCTCAGGATTGCAGCTCCCAGTGAAAGCGCGGAGGGTGAGTGGACGCCGCGTTTTTATTGCCCACAGACTAGGAAATTCCCGGGCAGAGGTGCTCCACGCTCGCCAGCGCGGCTGTTGTGGCCAGCGCTGCTGTGCCGGCCAGCGCCGCTGCTCTGCCCTGCGCGGCTGCTTTGTCGGCGCCCCGGAGCCGCGGTTCTCCGTACAAAATACACCGGTCCGGGTGCCCTTTTGGCTGGCGATTGGAGCCACGGGAAGTCGCCCATATGCTGGTTCAAAAAGGGGACTGAGCAGAGAACCAGGACAGTAGATTCCAGGGCAAAAAAAGAAAGAAAAAAAAGCGCCACAAACCTCAGTGCCGCTGTTTAAGCCAGCGCAGTGAGTGGCCGCAGGGGAAAACAAACAGACCCCGGCGCCTCTTCAACAGGCGACTGGAACACCAACTCAAAAAAGGCTCTGAGGCAGGGAGCCAGGCGATCAGGCTCGGCTGGCCCCACCCGGACAAAAGAACAGCAACCAGAAACTCTGGATTGAGAATTTCACAGCAAGCGCAGCTGAACCCGGGACAGTCCAGCTCTGTGGGGGAGGGGCGTCCGCCATTACCGAGGCAGCCCGCCGTTGCCAAGGCAACCCGCCATTGCTGAGGCAGCCTGCCGTTGCCAAGGCAACACGCCACAGCAGAGACTTCGTCCCAACAGAGGCGGGCCACCATCGCCAAAGCAGTTCTAACTACACCCATATAAAGAGGACTGCAGGGAAGTTCACTCAGCAGCGGGGCGCAGCCCACAGCAGCTCAGCAAAGCTGCTATAGGCCGACAGTGACTAGGCTGCCTCCTTGCTGGGCTGGGCAGGTCTGAAGGAAAAAAAGAAAAAAAACAAAAAAGAAGGCAGCAGCATAACGGAAACTCATAAATAAAGCCCTAAATCCCTGGGACAGAGCACCTGGGAACAAAAAGCAGTTTATGAGTCCTGCTGCAGCAGACCTAAAAGTACCTGCCCAGCAGCTCTGAATGAACAACAACAGAGCTCACAGCTCACCATTTGAGCTCCTATAAAGAAGAGACCGTCTCCTCAAGCAGCTCCCTGACCCCTATATATCCAAAAAGACACCTCATAGAGGAGAGATCAGATTGACACTAGGCCGGTATCCTTCTGGGACAAAGATAGAAGAAGAAAACTGGTAACAACCCTTGCTGTTCAACAGCTGCTGCAGGTGAACCCCAGGCAAGCAGGGCCTGGAGTGAACCTCAGCAGACCTACAGCAGAGGGGCCAGACTGTCAGAAGGAAAACCAAGAAGCAGAAATAACCTCATCATCAACAAACAGAACGTCAATCTGAAAGATTTGAGACCCAATCTGAAAGCCAGCAACTACAAAGTCGACAGGTGGATAAATCCTTAAGGATGGGAAGAAACCGGCGCAAAAAGGATGAAAACACCCGAAACCAGAACACCTCTCCTCCTAAAAGGGATCACAACTCCTCGCCAGCAAGGGAACAAGGTTGGATGGAGAATGAGTGTGATGAAATGACAGAATCAGAATTCAGAAGATGGGTAGTAAGAAACTTCTGTGAACTTAAAGAACATGTTCTAACCAAATGCAAAGAAACTAAGAACCTTGAAAAAAGATTTGACGAAATGCTAACAAGAATGGACAAAATAGAAAGGAATATAAGTGAATTGATGGAGCTGAAAACTGCAACACGAGAAGTTCGTGAAGCATGCACAAGTATCAACAGCCGAATTGACCAAGCAGAAGAAAGGATATCAGAGGTCGAAGATCAACTCAATGAAATAAAACGGGAAGGCAAGACAGGAGAAAAAAGGGTAAAAAAGAATGAACAAAGTCTCCAAGAAATGTGGGACTATGTGAAAAGACCTAATCTACGTTTGATAGGCGTACCCGAATGCGACGAAGAGAATGAAACCAAGCTGGAAAATACTCTGCAGGATATTATCCAGGAAAACTTCCCCAACCTAGCAAGGCAGGCAAACATTCAAGTCCAGGAAATACAGAGAACACCACAAAGATATTCGTCAAGAAGAGCAACCCCAAGGCACATAATCGTCAGATTCACCAGGGTAGAAATGAAGGAGAAAATACTAAGGGCAGCCAGAGAGAAAGGTCGGGTTACCCACAAAGGGAAGCCCATCAGACTCACAGCAGATCTCTCAGCAGAAACCCTACAAGCCAGAAGAGAGCGGGGGCCAATATTCAACATCCTTAAAGAAAAGAAATTTCAACCCAGAATCTCCTATCCAGCCAAACTAAGCTTCATAAGTGAAGGAAAAATAAAATCCTTTGGGAACATGCAAGTACTCAGAGATTTCGTCACCACCAGGCCAGCTCTACAAGAGCTCCTGAAAGAGGCTGTACACATATAAAGGAACAACAAGTACCAGCTCAACTAAAGGGCAAAACAGCCAGCTAGCACCAAAATGGCAGTATCAAATTCACACATAACAATATTCACCCTAAATGTAAATGGACTAAATGCCCCAATCAAAAGACACAGACTGACAAATTGGATAAAAAGACAAAACCCATCGGTGTGCTGTATCCAGGAAACCCATCTCACATGCAAGGATACACAAAGGCTCAAAATAAAGGGATGGAGGAAGATTTACCAAGCAAATGGAGAGCAAAAAAAAGCAGGAGTTGCAATTCTCATCTCTGATAAATTAGACTTTAAAGCAACAAAGATCATAAGAGACAAAGAGGGACATTACATAATGGTAAAAGGATCAATGCAACAAGAAGAGCTAACGATCCTAAATATATATGCACCCAATACAGGAGCACCCAGATACATAAGGCAAGTTCTTAATGACTTACAAAGGGACTTAGACTCCCACACAATAATAGTGGGAGACTTTAACACCCCATTGTCAACATTAGACAGATCAACCAGACAGAAAATTAACAAGGATATCCAGGACTTGAACTCAGACCTGGACCAAGCAAACCTAATAGACATTTACAGAACTCTCCACCCAAAATCCACAGAATATACATTCTTCTCAGCACCACATCACACCTACTCTAAAATTGACCACATAATTGGGAGTAAATCACTCCTCAGCAAATGCAAAAGAACGGAAATCGTAACAAACAGTCTCTCAGACCACAGTGCAATCAAGTTAGAACTCAGAATTCAAAAACTAACTCAGAACCGCACAGCTTCATGGAAACTGAACAACTTGCTCTTGAATGTTGACTGGATAAACAATGAAATGAAGGCAGAAATAAAGATGTTCTTCGAAACCAACGAGAATGAAGACACAACATACCAAAATCTCTGGGACACATTTAAAGCCGTATCTAGAGGAAAATATATAGCAATAAGTGCCCACATGAGAAGCAAGGAGAGATCAAAAATTGACACCCTATCGTCAAAACTGAAAGAGCTAGAGGAGCAAGATCAAAAAAACTCAAAGTCTAGCAGAAGACAAGAAATAGCTAAGATCAGAGCAGAACTGAAGGAGATAGAGACACAAAAAACCCTTCAAAAAATCAATAAATCCAGGAGCTGGTTTTTTGAAAAGATCAACAAAATAGACAGACCACTAGCCAGATTAATAAAAAAGAAAAGAGAGAATAACCAAATTGATGCAATAAAAAACGATAAAGGGGATATCACCACAGATTCCACAGAAATTCAAACCATCATCAGAGATTATTACAAACAACTCTATGCACACAAACTAATAAACCTGGAAGAAATGGATAAATTCCTGGACACTTGCCTCCTGCCAAGCCTAAACCAGGAAGAAGCCGAAACCCTGAACAGACCCATAACAAGGTCTGAAGTTGAGGCAGCAATTAAGAGCTTACCACCCAAAAAAAGCCCAGGTCCAGATGGGTTCACAGCTGAATTCTACCAGACATACAAAGAGGAGCTGGTACCATTTCTTCTGAAACTATTCCAAACAATACAAAAAGAGGGAATTCTTCCCAAATCATTTTATGAGACCAACATCATCCTGATTCCAAAACCCGGCAGAGACTCAACAAGAAAAGAAAACTTCAGGCCAATATCCATGATGAACATAGATGCAAAAATCTTCAATAAAATACTGACAAGCCGATTGCAACAGCACATCAAAAAGCTTATCCACCATGATCAAGTAGGCTTCATCCCGGGGATGCAAGGCTGGTTCAACATACGCAAGTCTATAAACGTAATTCACCACATAAACAGAACCAAAGACAAAAACCACATGATTATCTCAATTGATGCAGAGAAGGCCTTTGACAAAATTCAACAGCCCTTTATGCTAAAAACACTCAGTAAGCTAGGTATCAATGGAACGTATCTCAAAATAATAAAAGCTATTTATGACAAACCAACAGCCAATATCATACTGAATGGGCAAAAACTGGAAGCATTCCCCTTGAAATTTGGCACCAGGCAAGGATGCCCGCTCTCACCACTGCTATTCAATATAGTATTAGAAGTTCTAGCCAGAGCAATCAGGCAAGAAAAAGAAATAAAGGGCATTCAAATAGGAAAGGAGGAAGTCAAATTGTCTCTATTTGCAGACGACATGATTGTATATCTAGAAGACCCCATCGTCTCAGCCCCAAACCTCCTGAAACTGATAAGCAAGTTCAGCAAAGTCTCAGGATACAAAATCAATGTGCAAAAATCACATGCATTCCTATACACCAGTAACAGACTTAAAGAGAGCCAAATCAAGAACAAAGTTCCATTCACAATTGCCACAAAGAGAATAAAATACCTAGGAATACAACTAACAAGGAATGTAAAGGACCTCTTCAAGGAGAACTACAAGCCACTGCTCAACGAAATAAGAGAGGACACAAACAGATGGAGAAACATCCCATGTTCATGGTTAGGAAGAATCAATATCGTGAAAATGGCCATACTGCCCAAAGTAATTTACAGATTCAATGCTATCCCCATCAAGCTACCAATGACCTTCTTTGCAGAACTGGAAAAAACCACCTTAAACTTCATATGGAACCAAAAGAGAGCCCGCATAGCCAAGTCAATTCTAAGCAAAAAGAACAAAGCAGGGGGCATCACACTACCAGACTTCAAACTATACTACAAGGCTACAGTAATCAAAACAGCATGGTACTGGTACCAAAACAGAGATATAGACCAATGGAACAGAACAGAGGTCTCGGAGGCAACACAACATATCTACAACCATCTGATCTTTGACAAACCAGACAAAAACAAGCAATGGGGAAAGGATTCCCTGTTCAATAAATGGTGTTGGGAAAGCTGGCTAGCCATGTGCAGAAAGCAGAAACTGGACCCCTTCCTGACACCTTACACTAAAATTAACTCCAGATGGATTAAAGACTTAAACATAAGACCTAACACCATAAAAACCCAGGAAGAAAATCTAGGCAAAACCATTCAGGACGTAGGTGTAGGCAAGGACTTCATGACCAAAACGCCAAACGCATTGACAACAAAAGCCAAAATAGACAAATGGGACCTAATCAAACTCCACAGCTTCTGCACAGCAAAAGAAACAATCATTAGAGTGAATCGGCAACCAAGAGATTGGGAAAAAATTTTTGCAGTTTACCCATCTGACAAAGGGCTGATATCCGTAATTTACAAAGAACTAAAGCAGATTTACAAGAAAAAAACTAACAAGCCCATTCAAAAGTGGGCAAAGGATATGAACAGACACTTCTCAAAAGAAGACATACGTGAGGCCAACAAACATGTGAAAAAATGCTCATCATCACTGGTCATCAGAGAAATGCAAATCAAAACTACACTGAGATACCATCTCACGCCGGTTAGAATGGCGATCATTAAAAAATCTGGAGACAACAGATGCTGGAGAGGATGTGGAGAAATAGGAACACTTTTGCACTGTTGGTGGGAGTGTAAATTAGTGCAACCATTGTGGAAGACAGTGTGGCGATTCCTCAAGGACCTAGAAATAGAAATTCCATTTGACCCAGCAATCCCATTACTGGGTATATATCCAAAGGATTACAAATCATTCTACTATAAGGACACGTGTACACGAATGTTCATTGCAGCACTGCTTACAATAGCAAAGACCTGGAACCAACCCAAATGCCCATCGACGATAGACTGGATAGGGAAAATGTGGCACATATACACCATGGAATATTATGCAGCCATCAGAAACGATGAGTTTGGGTCCTTTGTAGGGACATGGATGAACCTGGAAACCATCATTCTCAGCAAACTGACAGAAGAGCAGAAGATCAAACACCGCATGTTCTCACTCATAGGCGGGTGTTGAACAATGAGAACACATGGACACAGGGAGGGGAGCACTACACACTGGGGTCAGTTGGGGGGAAATAGGGGAGGGAGGGTGGGGGGTGGGAAGCTGGGGAGAGGTAGCAAGGGGAGAAATGCCAGATGTAGGTGATGGGGAGGAAGGCAGCAAATCACACTGCCACGTGTGTTCCTATGCAACAATTTTGCATGTTCTTCACATGTACTCCAAAATGTAAAATGCAATAAAATAAATAAATGGGAAAAAAAAAATCACCAAACCCTTTATGTGCCCATGATACCTTTTATTTTTATTTAATTAATTAATTTATTTATTTTTGAGATGGAGTCTCACTCTGTCACCAGCTTGGAGTGCAGTGGTATGATCTCGACTCACTGTAACTTCTGCCTCTCAGGTTCAAGCGATTCTCATGCCTCAGCCTTCCGAGTAGCTGGGATTACAGGCACCCACCACCACACCCAGCTAATTTTTGTATTTTTGATAGAGATGGGGTTTCACCATGTTGGCCAGGATGGTCTTGAACTCCTGACCTCAGGTGATCTTCCTGCCTTAGCCTCCCAAAGTGCTAGGATTACACACATGAGCCACTGCACCCAGTTTCATTCTATTTTAAATATTAAAAGTAGCACAATATGCCATACTTTTTGTACACAATTCAAGGTCTTTATAAGCATTAAAAATATGTGTTCTTTCTGAGGTAAGTAACCAATTTAGATTCAATGTGAGTAAACACCAGAATTAAAACACTGTCCGAGGAGTAGGACTAGGCAATTTTTAACTGTTCATTTTGTACCTTTTCCCTGTTTGAATGTCTATTTCTAAATGTCTAATAATTAACAATAATAACTACTAAAAAAACACCTACGTTAATATGGCCCCTTTCCTCCATAAGATTTTAGCTCCTCTTAGTATAGCTCAATCACTCAAAGCTTTTCTAGGCTCATTTATCTGGGAGGAAAGCATATTTCTGAGATTTTACATAATTTTGAAAAGGCAAAACTTATGACTATTCTTTGTGGTGTCTTACCTTTTAAAAATATTATAGTATTGTCAGTAGTTAGCAAAATATACTTGGCAATTTTGGGGAAACTGAATAAAACCTGTTATAAGTACATTTCTAGGAATACTAGGGCACCTTTATAATTTCTCATGGGCTGAGGGGTCAACACAATGTGGTTAGCATATTTTATATTTTAGAAACCTAAACTTTAGATTCCACTGTGCATTCTTGTTCCTTATGTCCTCTTTCTGGTTCTCACCATCTTGCCCAAGATAGAAGGTCCTGGATCCCTTAAGACCCAGTATGACTGCCCCAGTCCTTGAGGTTCAACCTCTGGGAGGCCCCTTTCTACCCTACTCTTTGTACTGTCACAATGCATCCTGACTTAGAGAATGAGTTCACCATGAACTCTTGGAGTTAGTCCCTTTGTAGGAATAGGAAGACCTGGAAGTCCACTCTGCCTCAATTAATAAGAATTGAAAGGACAAGAAAGGTGAACAAAGAACATTCTTTTGCTGAAGCACTAAATGCAGCCCTTAAGAACACTTTCTGTGGGATCTGCTAGTCAGTTGAGCTCTTTATTTCCTTTCTAGGCAGGAAACTTCAAACTTCATTTTCAATGTCCAGCAGTGACCTTATTACTGTCTTCCTATTGGAGCCTTCCTGTGTGGTGGGATATAGTGGAATTTGGGCAGAAATAACCCAGTCCAGAAAGGCTGGCTGAGACTGGAAGCTCATTTGCATGTGTGTCTCACTATGTACCAGGCATTTCTCAAAGCTTGCTGTGTCATATAGCAGAGAGGTGACAATTGCTAGGAAGCCAAGCCTCAGGGATGCTCTTCAAAGATCCAGTCCATGAAAGCAGAAAATATTTGTTTTATGTCTGGGTTTATCTGCAATTAATTTTGTCATTAAGATATTCCTCGCTTGAATAATAAACATTAAACAATACTTTCTCAATAATATACTGAATTTTATTTAATTTTTAAAAGACTTGATTTTTGTTGGTGCGTATAAAAATAAAATTTATAAAAATAAAGGGACTTCATTTACAAATCAAATTTTCTTAAAAAATAATCATGAGAGTATATAGTTTTGTGTTT